TTTCTCTATGATAATAAAGAGAGGCAAATATTAGCCTATATTATTTCCACTTTCTTAAATAAATGCAAGATAGTATACACACACTACTTCTTCACTTAATAAATATATTGGTGATTCTACTCCCCAACTGAAGGAAGTTTGAGTTGTTTCCAGTATTAGCTATTGCCCAAATGTTGCCAAGAATGACTTTATAAAGACCTTATTTTGCATATGTGAGTATAAATTCCTCGAAATGACATTACAAGTTCAAAAGTAAATGCACTGATAATTTTAATAGATGTTGCCACCTGTACCTCATAAGAAATGCGTTAATTTTGTGATGGTATCTGTTTCTCCACCATCAACAAAGCATGTTAACAAACACGCAGACTTTTGCCAATCTACAAGTCTTACTGCAGTTTAAATTATATTTCTATAACTTTAAGTAAGGCTTACATCACTGAGCAAAAATACATTTTTAGGTCATTTGTATTTCATTTCTGAACTATAAGTTTATCAGACCTGCCACTTAATAAATATATGAACCTGGGCAAGTTCTATTCCGAGTCTCAGTCTTTTATCCTGTAAAATGGGAATAATAATAACAGCACAGATCTAAGAACTTGTGCAAAGACTAAATGAAATAAACAAAAACAACTCAGCAAAATGCCTGTCATCTGTATGGCCATTTCTGTTCCCCCCATCTTGTCATTTATTTTCCTTACCCTCTATTACTACTAAAAAATAAGAGAAACAGAAAATTTATTGAAGGCTTACTCTGCATCAAGTGCTATACTAGGAGGTACATCCAGCATTTCACAGAAGCTTTGTAAGAATCTTAAGAGTGTATTTTCAGAAGAAAACTGAAGGCTCACGGTGGTTAAGTTTCTCATCCAAGGTCACACAGCTAACAGGAAGTAGCACTGAAATTCCAAGTCAGTTAGTTATGAGTTATGAGTCCCAAGTCTCTACCTTTTCTATTACATCATGTTTTCTTAAATATGAGGAATCAGAGAAGGTATCAGTTCTGGAATATCACTGACATACTTACAGGGGTGTTTCTGTGTTTTCCAAGGCTAGTAAATCCACCTGTGCATGAAGACTGGGTTTCAAGCTGTTTGTTACAACAGGACTTGGAGAGCTGAAATCTAGAACACAAAATGTACTTGTTGTTTGGCTTTAAAACATGCTGTCAGTCAGCTGATCTGCTGGATTTTCTACAGGTAAAAAAACTCACCAGCACCAAATTAAAGAGATAGAGGCAGTTCTGTACTACAAAATCATGAGATTTTCTCAAACAGAAACTTAAAAAACATCATTTATGGCAAATGGAAAGGGAGAAATGCCCTGCCACAAAAAAGGGAAGTTGCAAAGGTAGCAAACGCTATTGTATTGGGTTTTCTAAAATCCTAAGCTGACTCAGAATGGAAAGGATTTTATGTCTTATTCTGCCAAGCCCAAAAGTAAAAAGCTATGCTACATACAGAACTCTACTCTTAGCTCACAAACTCTTAACTTCCCATAAGACATCCCAAAAGGGGTAATTATCCCCCCCTCCACCGAAAAATGCCTGATAATTCAAGAAAACTCTTCAACGTAACGGGCTCCCACTGGTCTAATCAAGCAGCCAACATTTTAGAAATGGGGGAAGTCATCAGAAAACCATACACTGACTGACACTGAATATTTTGATTCTGGAAAAACCTGCTAACATAAAAGGAGAACAAACTGATTTTGACTTGGCAAAAAATCTGGACTTCCGCATTTTTCATCATCCTTATTTTGTGATTTACCAAAACTCTCTAGGAAGAGTTGTAGGAGGTAACAAGTAAGATAGATAAGGGAGGTAACCTAAGACTACATAGTGCAGCACCATTCATTCACCTTCGCAGAAGCCCATTAAAGCAACCACCGCTCTCACTTTAGGGCTGGGTGGCTGAGAGGTTGGCTGAACTGGGATTTCAACTTGGACATCTCTGACTCAAAAACCTGTATTTTGCCCCCCATTTCATCACCATGAGGCCTCATGTTCCTGATTCTCTCTGTGTGCATCAAATATTCCCTTACCTGATGCTGTAGTATGCCAGAGAAACCCAAAGATAACAGTGTGGGTTCACAGTAGGTCTACCTCTTGGCCATGGAGTTGAACAAGCTCCACATAAGCAGGCCAGGTGAACTCTGAGATTCTAAGCCAGCGCGATGAGTTTCAAGGACCTCCTCCCCCAGACACATCCCACTGCTGTACTAGGCATGACCCAACCACTTGCCAAGAAGTAATTACATCTCCTGATACAGTTCTCTGATAGTCAGACTGACTTCAGTCCTTCTCAGGGTGCATTTAATCAAGAAACCAAGGAGAACTGTTTGACATCAAGATCTTCTGCTGGTCTGAAAAGGCCCGTGTGCTTATTTACTTAAGTCTGAAAGCTGAGCATTCAGGGTGTTGAGTTCTCCCAAAGAGGCCCTATGCATCCGAGGGCTGGGACTTAGGTCAAGGAGATCAGAGGACGGGGCAGAAGGTTCACTGGTAGCCTGAAAACAAAGCAAACAGAAAAAAAAAAAATTAGAAAAAAAGTGTCAGGCAGTTTATCATACCACCTTTCTCCCCAGAGACTTCCTTTTGGAGAAAAGAAGATCCTACTTGGAGGTATCGTGAGGGAGAATTCTCCACTCAATGGGCAACACTAGTACTAATCACATCTCAGCACTGACACGGGTTCCTGCTTAATTAGAGAATCTTATTACAACCTCTTATCACTAACTCAATACCATCAAGTTATTAAGGCAAGTATTCTACACTACCAAAATTGCTCCAAATCATAAATGCATATCTCCTCTTTCTTAAGACTTGTTTTAGGTAAGCCTTGCTCCTTACCATACAATTGACAAAATTTTCAACTGTTTATTTTATAACATTTCTATTCACTTACATTGGCATCTTCCCGCTGGTTCTTATTTTGCTCCAAAATCCTTTGTTGGTTTCGAGTAAACCTGTTTGAATTGAAAAAAATGTAAGTATTTATAGAAGAAAACAGATATGAAAAT